CATGGAAAAAGGACCAAACGCACGCGTCCGGCACGCGTTTTTAATGTTGACCAACCATCAACTAATTTGATTTCTGACCAATTACCGCATATTTCAAAATCTAATATCCTCCTACCCCCATCAATATGGCCCCGATTTCTCTTCGTATGCACCGTACTACTACACAAAACGATGCAAGTCTACGGTTCGGCAACGGCGCTGCTGGAAAGTTTGATGGTGCCTTATGTGGCCTCCTCGTGTGTCTGGTTGCTATCCAGCGACAGCGTGCTCTTCACAAGAAAGCTCCAGTTGTTCAGGAACGGATCTCATGGTCAGTACCAGTGCATGGAAAAATAATATAATAACATTATTACGGATATTATATTGACGGAATAACTTATTACTGTTTTTATCGAAATGAGGATAATTCAAAATTGAGAGGAATAATACAGTATTTTTCAGCCACCAACCATTTCGAGAGGGTGTCGACCTCCATTCGTTCTACCTTGGAATAATACAGACTGTATCGCGCATCGCGCAGCCTCATTCTCACTTACCAACTACTCACGTAGCACCAAGCCCCTCTGTCTTTTCCTGTTGACCCCCCCCCCCCCCCTCCCCATGACATCTCGCCAGCGCTGCACCTACTACTACACTGACCTTGGAGAAGGTCTTTTTGACTGCAAGACGTGTGGGCGTCATCGGAAGTAAGCACCAGGCACGGGCTATAGTAACCTCCTCAGTCATCTATCAAGCAAGCACGATGACTACGCTACCGAGTACGCAGAGCTCCAAGCCTCTGCGACACCGTCTATTGCTTCGTTTGACTTTGCCGATGATTCGACACGCAATATCTACCAGAGCTTTTCCCAAAACCAGTACCACATGTGAGCACAAATCTCGAAATACGTACCCTTCCCAAAACCAGATGCTCCATCCGCTCCGTCGTCGATCACTCTTTTTCGGCCACGCGCCATCTTGGTTTGTTCATCTACTTTTTATACCCAAGGTCGTACGTGACCTGTGATTACCTTCTATCACACTTGCTCTAAATCTGTTGGTTATCTTTTGCTCATAATAAATCCAAGACAATTGGTGTAGACCAAACCAGCATTTCACGCAAGTATGATAAGCTATTATCACAGCACTGTTCCAATTTCTCATTGAAATATCACGACTGCACCTGATGTATATAATGCCTGTGTTTGTGATAGGAATCAGATCACAGGTCGAAATCGTGGTTTGATTGGTCAACTCAGCAAAACAAATCTGGTTCAACGTTATTGATTATTCTTCTTCTTTCGATACTTACAAGTGCGATTATAGTATCGCGGTACAACTTTGCAAGCATCGTCTCTAAGATGGTA